TAAGACATACCCTGGGGGGTTCGAACTAGCCGGCATTTAAAAATGGTGCGCTCCCCGCTTATGCTAATGAAGCCCGGGAAATTCAAATCCCGGGCTTCATTAGCAAGTGCGGTATGCATACATTACCCTCCTAGTTCGAACTAGGAGGGTAGTGTAGACATACCCCTATTCTGGTTATCTGTAAAGCTGGGAAAATAGTTAAAAAAATATCCAAAAGAGAATGACAAATGAAATCTTGAAATTTCCTACAAATTCCAAAATTTCACTGAAAAAAAGTCACTATAACATTTCAGGTTGGCCTTTTCTAAATATTTCCAGGAATCCCTGTGCTTCTCCAAACACTGGAATGCAACAGCTAGGTAGCTGTGCAGCTCAGGGACTCTGAGGGACTTGATTGCAAGGCAGCCTGCCAGGTTAATGGTCCCAGAGTAGGGACTTTTGATAGCTAAAGAGCTGGGAGCTTGGGAGTTGGGGCTGTTGAGGAGCTGGGAGCTTGGGAGTTGGTACTTTCAAGGCTTCCAAGCTCCTGGCTCACTCTTTGCCTTCCAGGTGGGCTGCCAAGGAACCAGGCCAGTGAGCTGGCAGGAAAACTGGCTGTTTCCTATTGGAATTTTGTCAAATCATTACATTCCCATGGAACATTTCAATTTCTACAAATTGCCATTTTTCCCTGAAAAAAATGTTTCCAAGTACCTCCACATATTACTTTAAATTCTCCCATTTAAACACCTTTTCACTAACAGTAACATATTTTAATATTAGAAGGGTAGCTGTGTTAGTCTGAGTATGCAAAAACAACAAGAAGACCTGTGGCACCTTATGGAGAGATTTATTGGAGCATAAGCTTTTGTGGCAAAGACCTACTTCTATAAGGTGCCACATGACATGCATCTGACAAAGTAGGTCTTTGCCCACAAAAGCTTATGCTCCAATACATCTGTTAGTCTATAAGGTGCCACAGGACTTCTCATTGTTTTTGCATATTTTAATATGCCCCATTCTCGCAGGAAACTTTGTAGGTAAAAGTTTTCCAAGGCATTTACCTGGTATTGACAACTCTGCTATGGAGAAATCACTCTCATAAAAGTAATAACAGCTAATTCACCATTTTCACTGAACCTACAAAAAATATGGTGTTTCTATACAAGTTCCTTTTTCTAGAAGCTAACTTAAAAGCACACTTTTCACAGAGATAGGAATGTTCACATCAACATCACTAATAACATTGCTGAAGGAACAAAGAAGTAAATAAAATGAAATCACTTTGAATTTTCATTCCTTAAAGATACAGGAATAAATCCTCCAAACAAATAAGTAGAAAACAAAAAGAAATATTTGTAAGATTTTGAAGGTGAGGTTCAAACAATATACATTGTGTAAAGCCAAAGATAACACCATTTGTGTGAATTCAAATAGCATGCACAATCATCTACCCTAGATGGCCCGGATTTTTATCTTATTTTGACTTCCACTTGGGAGTAGATGGACAAGAAGAAGGACAAGTATGTGGAATGGGAAGAACATTAGACAAGTATGTGGAATGGAAAGAATGTAGTCCGTAGCTTCCAAAACACTGGCCAAAGAAGCAGAGCCAGAGAGTGGCAAAGGGAAAGGAAGTAACATGCTACTGCTAAGGACCAATAGCAGATTATTTTCCTATGGAAGCAAATAGAGAACCAAGAAGGAATTATGACTTTCTGAATCATTGGCCTTTCCCTTAAACAGGCTAAAACGAGTCCACTGATGTAACTTTAAAAGAAAGGTGAAAGTTTCCCTTACTAACAAAATTGCAATGCCATTATATCAAATTGAAAACAACTGACCAAACAAAAAAACAAACAGAAAGCCCTCTTGCAATACCCAACAATGAATGAGGCACCACAAAATGGATGTATTTGCACATTTTTTTCAAGGACTGAATGTATCCATATGCTCAAGAATTTTCAGATTCACAAAAGGAAAGAAGTAGATAGGCAGCTCAAATGTGAATCTCATAAGAAGAAATATTAGGGGCTAATTGTAAAACAGAAACATGCCAGGAGATTATCAATACATCTTTACTCATTTAAACAAAGACAAAGATTTCAGTATAATCAGGGATCTCATGGTTAACATGCTTATCAATTACTTTGTGGACAAAGGCACTCAGTACAAATAAGACTGTTAGCTCATTTACAAAAGCATATTGATCATGCAGAGGAACTGTATCTGACACACATGCTTTGTTCTAAAAGAATTATTGTATTCAAAACATAAAGGAATATTATATGGAAGACAACATAGTATTGGGAGTACCTTCTCTGTAGATTTTTTAGCATCCTTCCTTTGCTGTAAGGTTGCAGAGGTGCATTGCACTTGGGGATCAAATGCAAGACACTTCACACTAATGACACAAACCCTCACCACTTAATCTGAGTAATTTCTGTAACTATACTAAGAAGCAAACTTTGGGTTAGCCACTAGATTAGTCATGGGTAACCTGCAGTTCACAAGCCTCATGTGTCCCATTGGGGTTCTACGTGTGGCCTACACACAGAGTTGCCAGATTCTGCCAGTTTCTGTCCATATAGTTTTTTTCCTACAGATATTACTAAAGTGACATGCACATAAAGCAAGGACTCATGCAGTGAAGTGCATGATAGTTGCACACAACATTGACTGTGAGAGAAGTATGCTCACTCTACATGCAATCAAAGCGCTGATATGGTTCAGTTGGCACACACTGCAAATTCTAGGTGCTCAAGCACAGTTAGCAAAACTATCCCACCTCAGGTCATCTTGGTTACAACAATCTTGCAGGCCACTGATATGAGGGAGGACCACTCATGCAGCCCAGTCACGGTTGTGCACTGCTGCACTCATGAGAGGTTAAGATAAAGTAATGGATAGCTATGGATGGTTCTTTGGCAGTGAAATTGGTATAATTGTACAGCACAAAAAGACAGGATTTATAAGTAATGAACAGAGTTTACAAAAGTGGCTAGCAATTTTGACCACCTTTAATTTTTGGCTGGCTAATATGAGACTCTGCAGAGGGGGCTGATTATCAGGTGATAGGAATCCAGCACGTTCAGAAAAAAAAATTCAGGGCTCTTTATGGTTATTCAAGTTGGGCACGTAAAAATGGAGGTTCACCAAATAACCAGTCACTTCTAAAAATCTCAGCTAGTGTGAATTGTGCAACACACTCTGCAGGACACACCTTGCTGTGTGAAGAATATCTTTCAAGGAACATACAAAAGTGAGAAGGGAAAAGGAAGTAAGTGAGGAAGTAGAATATTACTTCAGAGCTTGGCCTTGTGTTGCACTTTGCTCAGCTGGGCCGTTTCAGTGATGCATTAAGCATTTAGTAAATATCTACTGTGTGTTACTGTATCACTATAATATCTCACAGTATCAAATAATGTGACCTAGAAATTCCAATAATTAAATAGTTACAGTTTACATCAATAGAAGTATGCAATTACCTTGTATAAGGCTGCTCTAATTCTTTGTAGTCGGGAAAGAGCTGTGTGCAAGGAAATG